TTAAATAAATCCCGGATCAATTATTTATTAAGTCATTTTATATAAATTACTTAAATGCAACAAAAAAATAAATATTTATATAATTTTATCTATTTGTCGGCTCTGTATAATTTTAAAAATTATTAATCTTTTTTCAAAAATTTAGATTGCAAAATTACTTAAAGTTGTGCTAAAATTTTGTGTAGTATTTTTTATATTTAAAAGATTTTCTTAGTAAATTTTGAAGGTTCTATGTAGATTTTAACTACTTGAACAAGATTATTAAAAAAGCATGGTTTTTTAACCTTTTTTTTAATGTTTTTTTGCTAATTTTGCAATAATGGTAATGCTTTTTTCAATTTGAAATCATTTCTATCTTGTAGGAAATTTAGATACCACCTGGACTACTATAGTCCATTTCCATCATATTGATAGCACATTATGTATGCAAATCCCTAAACTGTTGATACGGATGACTCTATGAAAAATAGATATTTGTCAACAAGTTTACAGAAGTATATAGGAAAACAATTTTAAATTGAGTATGACCACCAGGTATAAAGGTTTAAGCAGAATAGAATACACTAGTTTTGAGGGTTACTAATCCCTAAATAAAGTTGCCAGTGTCGGAGCGATGGAGATTAACAGGTACTAATGAATTTGCAAGAAGTTTATTTTATTGGTTATATATAAAATAATTTGTGGCCGTAACAAGGGCCGATTTGTAAAAAACTGAATATTATTTTAATCAAATTCCATTTCAGATTCACTGCTTTCTTCAGAATCTAACGAATCTTCAACTCCAATGTTAATTATTACCGGTTCCAGCATTGCATCAGTCATATTATCCAAATTCCACATTTTATTTTCTTTTTTGTGAGCATGACTAACAGCATTTTTCTAATTTTCTGGAGTTAGTTGTGATAAGGAATGTTCTAATAATTGTTGTAAGTCTTCTAATTTAAAAGTTTTCTTGTTGCGTCCGACTTCACTCTTTACTTGAGACCATATATTTTCTATCGAATTCAGATCACAGTGGTATGGGGGTAAACGTAAAATAATTACATCACGGTTTAATCCCATTTCATCAATTATATATTTTTTATAAGCTGCTTTATGTTGCCTTACAATAGGTAATAATTCCTTTTTTGCCGATTTCTCCTTGTACTCAATTGCGTGTTTATCCAACCATTCGATTATCTCTGCTTGTTTCCATGCCGTTGTTGGCAATTTTTCTGCTAGTCTTGAATGGTAACTAGCATTATCCATGACTATGACATTTTTTGGAATTAAATCCAACATTTGCTCAAAATATTTTTCAAAAACGTCAGCAGTCATTTCCTTGTGGTAATCTTTGGTTGATTTTGAGGCAAAACTTAATAATCCACCATTGACAAAACCGTATTTCTTTGTTAAAAAAAAAATGACTGGACTCTGCGTCTTATCATGTTTTTATGTATTTCTTCAATTTCCAAGGGTTTACTCCCTCCATTCTTATTGGGAGATGAAACAGTTCATTTTCTTTCTTTTAGGAATCTATAAACTGTTGCTTCTCCAACCCCTGTCATATTTGAACACATGTTAACGATTTCACGAACATTACTTAAAGGGCGTTGATGTACAAGTGCATCGTGTACATTTAATATTATATTTTTTTTTCTTAGACTAAAGGCACCTTTAAAACTACACTTAACTGGGATAAAACCTGTTGTCGACGTCATTTTTAAATGCAAATAACAAAATATCGACACCAAAAACGTAGGTAGGTAAGATATGAACAATGTACATCTACAAACTAAATGGAAGATGCAAACAATTTCTAATTTATATTATTGGCATAAGCTGTAATGTGGCATAAAAACTACTTAAACTATCATTAGTGAAGCCTTATCAGTAATTCCAGGTAATCGTTCAAAGAAGGTATTCTTTTTGTGTCAGACGATAACTTGTATAGAAAACAATAATCACCTTTAAATTACTGTTTACATTTAAATTACCAATAATCGTGTGGCATATATACCGACGTTTTTTACGCACAAAAAAGGTATAGTGAGATTAGTGGACACTTATTTTACAGAAGATTTTTTAAAAGATAATGAATTGTTGACGTCATCTTAAAATATTAATTTTTTTTATTTATTTCAGAACAAGTATAGGGTGACGCCTATGGTTTTTTGACCTGTTGAGGATTTGCATACATAATGTGCTATCAATATGATGGAAAAGGACTATAGCATATATTTTGTAGTCGAAATAGATTTAGCAAATTCCTCCATAATTATTGGGGTCATCTCGTGTTTTTGTTTTGAACAGTTTTCAGCTTTTGAATGAGGTATGAAAAAATAAGTCTAGTATAATAGGGAGGATAATAAAAAAGCAAAAGTAACCTTAAACATTTTTTATTAACATAAAAAATGAAACAGTCTTATATACTATCGAGAAAATTCGGATGTAAATATGAATTGCATTACATACTCTAAAAAATCACTGAGAATCATTGACTTGTTCTATTTCTTGATAAACCAAATATCTAATATAAATTCTTATATAACACGCTAAATCAAGTTTATTCGCAATAGAAAAATCATTACTGATGCAACTAAATGTGTAAAAATATCATTATAAAAAGCACTACTAGAAATCATATAAAAATGTACGTAATAACTTTGTGCTATTTGTAAACAGGTGAAAAATATAGATATTAACACAATAAATGCCAGATCCCAATATATTTTATGATAGCAAAGAAAATTGCTACCCTCTGTGCATACAAGTGAAAAATCGTATATGTTTATACTCCACTAATAAATGCATACAATTATAATGGGAAAATTCAAATTCAAATGAATTAAGTACTGTTCAAGCCATTTTTGTCCTGTTGCAACCAAATATCTGACACGCTTCTTTAATTATATATATGAAACTGAGACACTAGCTCAAGACTGACTAACAACCACATTTATACTACTACCCAAGAAGCACAAGGCAAGACAATGTGATGACCACATAACAATATCTCTGATGAGTCACATAGCAAAAGTTTTCATGAATATCATATTTAACCGTATTTATAATAAATGCAATGAATATTGAAGTCGCTTACAATATGGATTCAGACAGGGTACGGGAGCAAGAATCAATGGCATTGTGTTAAACAACATAAGGTATGCAGATGATACGGTGATCATAGCAAAAAATAAAAAACAGCTCCAGATACTAATTAATTCACCGACAGAAGGGAGCAACAGAATGGAGTTGGAAATTAATACCATAAAAACAAAAACGTTAGTTTTCAGTCGAGTTTTACAAGCCCATCACAATCTTAATGTTAGTATCAATGGACGCAATCTGCATGTCGTTCAAAAATATACGTATACATGGGTAGAGAAATAAATTGGCAACTAGAACTTTAAAAGGAAATGCAGAAGAATTGAAATCTTCAGAGCAGGATTCATGATCACGAGAAACATACTTTGCAACCCAAAATTCGCGATGCAAATGTCGTTTTAAAGAAGTAGAAGGTAAGCCACTTGAGCGCACTTTGACCTTTGACCTCCGCGGCTTGAACCGTACGAGCATATAATTATTTTATTCCTCTTCGCGCATATACATATTTTATTTTTTAAGTTCTTACTTGGTCAGATACGGGGCTAACGGCACTTTTAAACAGGGCAATGGTACTTATGGAGGGACATGGGACAAGTGAGCCATTGATATGAATATTATTAAATATAATAAACTACGAGTGTACCAATTTTTCACCATCATATTGTGGTATGTCGTTTTAAATGGTTATTAATAAGTGGAATAATACAGATCATTCGTTTAACCGGAATTGTTCTAAGCAAATTGCAGTTATTTATGTTTACAACCTTCGAAAAAGGTGGTTTGCAACACATAATTATTAAAAGTCCCTAAAAGATCAATAAATAAACGAACTAAATGGTGTAGAAAAACCATTAGTTTCGCATCGGATATTATGAAAAATATTATGTAATGCCGAACGCATCTGAATCGCTGAGTCATAGGGAGACGTTTTTAAAGTTGCTACATAGAAGACCATAACAGCTACATTGGCCGGTCGAATTAATTGAGTTCAGGTGACAAGGTTTATCCAATTTCTATTATATCTAGTGAGTGTTTTGAAAAGGGTTTTTTCAAGAATAAATTATCAAACGAGAGTTAAAAAGTGTTGAAGTTAGTTCATCACAATCACGCTTTTTAAGTCCATTAAAAGCTTAATTTATTATCGACTTTTGGAAGTTATTATAAACTAACGCGTGTTAAACATGGTTATTCCGAAACACTAAGCAAGTCAAGTTTTTATTGTTAGTTGAAATTATATTCTTAAAAATGCCACCAATTACACGTAGCAACTTAAGTAATAAAACTCGCGATGCTGTAACTAAAAAAAATATACGAGCAAGTCAAACTGACAGGAAACGCGAAGCGCAAAGTTAAACTTTATCGAAATCAACACCATAGAAATATCGTTGTGAGCCCACATTGCAAGGAATTTAAGGTAAAGCCTCTGGACTGTATTATGCCAGTGAATAATTTAGATTGAAATCTTATACTAATTTCCAGAAAACAAACAGGATAACGTCTCCCGGGTCAGCTAATAATCAATAAAATTCGACGTGTTTGGATCCTTTTAATCTGATAATTATTACCCCACAGATAGCTCGAATCAATGCTTAACGCATTGTAATTGTATCGACTGTAGAAACATCTGTCATCATTTGTCGTTAGAGTGAATTACATATGTAAAATATGTAGCCAGTTCTTTTTCACAAAACGAACTGGCTGCATATTTCAAGTATTCACGCCAAATTTTTCCTTAACCAAGAGTACTACATAAACAGAATATAAGCAGACTTTGAAATAGTACAATCGTTAAGTATGTAACCGTAATTAATTTTCGTATTTGGATTTGGCAGTAATCGTAACCGCATATTAAGAACCACTTACCGTCACTGCAGCAATAATGTAGTAAATAAATAGTAATAGATTTATTGTTTAAATTTTAATTAGAGAAAACGATATCCATAAATAGCAGCAATGCAAAAATATATGTAAAATCATATTACAACGATTAAATGGGCATGCACCCATTAATGAACTACCCGAAAATACCCGAATCATGGTAATTCTTCGAGTTCGTTCTGTATATTCAGTTTAAGACTTACAAGAAATACATGTAACTAATTATTTTCGTAACAGATTTTAACTGACAATAACTATCTTCATACTTTTTATACAGATTACACACTCCTAGCAATCTCTCTTGTAAATCTTTTTTACAATTTTAAAGAATAAATCATGCGGCAATCCCTTCGAGATTTGGTGAATGTGTGTTCGAATAATATTAAAGCTTTCTTCTTCGTAGACTGCGTATGTCGATGGCAAATTTAATTCTTCGTATAGGTTTTTAATAATCTTAATGGACTCTTCCTCATTACGTCCGTAATGGTCTTCCATAATCTTTCTTTGAGCTGATGTAGCTCGTTGTAAAGCTACCACGGCTAACCAGCTACACTTTCCATCTTGGATATCTGTTCCAATTTTGCCAGTTACTGCTGGATCTCCAAATACATCCAGAAAGTCATCCTAAAATATACAAAACATTATAATAATAGCAATATTTGGAGTTACAAACAAATTTTTGTAACAGTAGCAGCGGGTGTCTATTTGTCTATTTCTATTCGATCTAGGATCTATTGTGTTAAGTATATTATCGACGAGAAAATGAAAATATGCACAATCTGGTAAGTCGGTCTACAAATAAGAGAAAGTACATGCGTCTACCAGAAGTACTCCTGACGAGAAAAAAGAGCAGAGTTGAAGGGTTGAAGAGTTTGTGGTGACGGAAGTTACAAAACTGCCCTAATGGGATCATGACAGTAGGGATCTCCCACAATTATCTGGATAAAATGGTGACCAAGAATGAAATAGTCTCCATAAAAGATAACCCAACAAAACTTAGCTATGAAATTCCATAGATGTACACTCATGGTCAGGTACTTTCAGTTGATATATGCCGAGGAAGAGTCCTAATAACACAAAGGAATTTCTTGATAATAAAAGGGGATGGAAATAGGCTGAAAACTACCTAAATCCAAATATGTGCTAACGTAACATCCGAAGACTAAAATCGGGGATCTGAAGGTGAGAATATTCTAACTTGGTACATAAAATACAAAATTGGAACTCCGAATCCTGAGCTGTAAGCTGGCCGCAGACAAAGGACTACCTTCGAGTATCTGGATCGACAAAACGTCGAAGTATAATTGAACAAGCTGCACCGAAAGCCTTATTACCAACTCTTTCGTGCTAGCGTTATGCAGTTGGTTCGGAAGAACTCTACGCAGACTGAGACACTAATGAACCAAAGCCTTCCGATCACAATTGACATATATTTCCACACAGGAAATTGAAGGTAGAAATTGGAGTAGAAACGTGGACATTAAAGGCGGAAACTCTATCAAAACTTCATGCTTTTGAGCTATGGTTATACAGAAAGATCCTTAAGATACTAAGTATAGACAAAGTCACCAATGAAGAAGTACTACTAAGGATGAACACAACCGCGGATTTTTTCAACATCGTGAAGGGCCGTAAGCTGTAGTACGTGGGACATATAATGAGAAATCAAGCTACTCCAATGCATTTTGCAAGGTAAAATTTAAGGAAAAAGGGCCCCAGGACTAAGAAGAATATCCTGGCTTGCTAACCTGAGAGCACGGTATAGAAAGACTTCAACACAGCTATTCCGTATAGTAACCAACAAAGTCATCATAGTCAGAATGATCGCCAATGTTCGGAACGGACAGGCAGCCTAAGAAGAAGAAGAAATTCAAGCGTCTCAAAATTTTTCATGTAGATGAAGAAAATGGTACAGGGGGCATAAGCTAAATATCTAGAAGATTAGAATAATTTTTAGAGGGCAGGAATCACGTTGCCTAGATGAAAAATATCTGTCTTAAATTTTGTTGTACACTATATATTTCTCGGATGAAATATTACTTTATCTGAATCAACAAAACAATTATACCATTTTCTATACTGAACTGATTCAAATAACGGACTTGTACGAACTCGTCAGTTTATAACTCCTGATTATAGTAGACCCTCCGAAATATAGCAAACTGGTCATCTGTCATCATTTGGAGACCCATAAACGGATCACTTCAGATAGGTAAACTCATCACCAGCATTTTTGCCACAAAGCGCTGATTTCTATTGCGGAAGTTTGCCTTTTACCTGGTACACTTCTAGTTTATGTGGTAATCTATTAAGCAATGAAGCAGCCTTGCACCTTTTAGGGCAAATGAAGAGACTTTTTTTCGCATCTTTGGGGGTAGGTATCAATAGAATTTAGTGGAATTCCCAAATACCCGCCAACTCTTGAATTTAATACATGCGGATTTGCATTATTTTTTTGATTTGCAAAAATTTTATGGTCTTTACCTGCCATGAGGTACAGGTAGGTCAGTGATCAGTTTGCAAATCTCTTCGCGTATATTTTAAAATTCCTGGTTTTATTGCGGGGATGAGTTTACGTGTACCTTAAATAACAATACATATCGAAAACAAAATGTTTAGACGACAATTCTGAATAATTATATTACAGAACCTTCATTAAAGAAATATTTTCTATAATTTTAAGTAAAATATGAGGGCAAAAGAAAATATATTTTTGGATAAAAAAGATATAAAAATATTGAACCTTAATTAGTTGTTTAAGGATTACAGAAATACTAAAGCAATTAGAGCATAGAGATTATAATGGTTAACTCATAAGGCAGAAATGGAATATAAAATACTGATAAAAGGCTAAAACTATAGAAGAAAAGAGGAAGTAAAATAATTATAGAATATTATTATATTATATTATAGAATATACTATTATATATTATAAAATAATTAGAGTATCGAAATAGACTTCTCAACAATTGAAGTGGATATTATGAAAATGTGTATTTTATTTTTTGTTCATAAGGTCAAATAGAAAAATGGAGTGATATAAATAAAGATTTATGTTTACTTCGTATTTTCATACATATGAACCGAAAGAAAGAAATTCTTAAAAAAAAATGTAGAAAATAAACAAAAATTGTAAAATTAACAACCTAAAAATTCTATTCCTGCTCAATTTCTAATATCCAGAAAAGAAAAATTAATAGTGTGTGGGTCCACCTCTGTGTCGCCTTAGTGCTCTAACTCTATTTAGAAGACCTCGTATTAAATTATTGATGAACTGCTGTGGTATACATTCCCAAATCGCGCGTAATGTATTGGCCAACTGATCTAAAGTTTTGGGGCGGTTGAAGGAGCCTGTTTTGTTGCCTAGACATTTCGCCCCAAACATGTTCAATGCAATTAATATCAAGTGAACATGGTGGCCACTCCATTCTTGTAATGCCAACAGCTTTTATACACTCGTTGACAATTCTCGCACGGTGAGGGCGAGCATTATCAGTAATCAGAACAAATTGTTCGCCTATTGCACCAAAAAATGGAACAACTATTGGTACTATGACCAATGACGTATAATATATAGACTCGGTGAACGCTTTAAAAAGTGTCCAAAACATGAATACCTTTGTTATTGTTTATTGTTTTGATACGAAGATGCACGAAGTTCATGATTTCTTACGAAGCATCACGAAGTTGATCTTGTGTTTAAAAACATCATGGACGTATGAAAACATTTTCTCCATTTTGTGTGACAAGCAAATTTTATTTTAAATTGTTGAGAGTTATTTACTTACTATTTTAGTAAAATGCCATACTATTTTATCAAAATAATTATTTCTCTTATAGACGGGAACAAAAAGAAATCATAAATATTTAATTTTAATTAAAAAAATAATATTGTCATTAACATATAAATGAGCACGCCGCTGTTCTGATAAACATACCTTCAACCTTGAGCCGAGATCTTTCGGACACTCGATTCTATAGCGAGAATAGGGGACTGCGTAGTCTATATATTATACGTCATTGACTATGACTCTGTCTCGATATCGTGTAGCAGATATCTTATTAATTGAGACGACTAAGTCCGTGCGACCGTCAAAACATATGCCTCCCCACACACAAACGGATCAACCTCCAAAAAGAGTGGTTAATACTCTCAGATTTTCATTGTAACGCTGTCCTCTTTCTCTCCACACCAATATTCGGCCATCATTCGTATACAAACGAAATCTGGACTCGTCAGTAAAGAGACAATTCCTCAAATTTTAGAAATTCCACTGATAGTGTTTCATCGCCCAGCGATATCTGCATGCACGCTGCTCCATAGTTAGTCGTGGATGGGTAGCATCCAATTTAAGGCCGTCTAGCCCTTAAATTGGATGAATGTAACCGTCTTCTGACAGTTTGACTGGAAATCGCTCGTCCAGTAGCATGCCTGAAGATACTGTTAATTCTGAAAGCCGTGAATGTTGGGTTTCTTCTTGCCGTCAGAACTACAAAACGGTCTTGCGGACGAGTTGTAGATCGTTCTCTTCCTCCTTTATGCCTGTATGTTGCAGATCCAGTTGCTACATACCGATTCCATACACGACTTATCAAACGTTACGACACATATTAGCCTCATAGCAACCTCTTGTTGAGTTATGCCTTGTTGGATCCAACGAACTGATTGCTCCAGCTGCACTAGTTCTAAACGTCTGTGCGGCATAATGTTTTCGTGATAAATAGATTTCTTGACTTATTGACAACTGGTGAAGCCCATACAAGCACTTTTATACGAATGATATATTCATGTTTGGATATCTAAGATTCTACGATTCTACGCGTAGAATTTTTAAGTAATTTTAAACTGTTTGTCCTCGTTTTAGTGTAGTGTTTGGTACAATTTTATGTCATTATTAATGTTTCCACATTCTACGCTTGCCGGATAGTTTACATTTTGACGAAATGCCCCTGAAGATGCTATTTTAAGCGAAAGTACTTGGGCTAGATTTAATTAACTTGTGCTCGATAATAGCCTTATTTTTCAAAGTACATATATTTTTATTTAATTCGAAAACGGTTGAGTTATTTGATAAATTAATTGACAATTAATATACGACATTTATCAGCGATAGTTACGTGGTGACTCTACGTGTTTTACTTAATAAGACTGTATTATTATAATATTAGATAATTAGATACTATTATGCCATGTGATATTGAGTTTCATGTTAATTACATTTTGCAAGAGATGATTTTCTTACCTGAATTTGGAAAAACTCCCCGATCTCTAATAATATCGTCTTTGCTTGCCTGTGTTGTTCCTCATCAAACATATTCGCCAAATACATTCCTAAAGCAACGGGCAACTGGAAACTGTAATAAGAAGTTTTGTATTTGACTATTGAATTATATCTCTTCATGGTGAACTGATCCAATCTTGGCTTTCCGTCTTGTAGACAAAGACAGTCAAGGGATTGTCCCATTGAAGTTTTTAAAGTTACGTCGTGGAAAAGTTCTATAATCGGTACGTAACAAGTACGATTCGAGAAATACCTTCTAAGAACTGAATAAATACTATTTTCTAATAATATTCCGTCGTTAATCGCTACTAGACCAACGTCTTCATTTCGATGCCAGCAGGGCTGGCCTCTGCGATATAGTGAATTGTCCATTATATCATCGGCAACTAGGAAATACGCTTGAAGCTGGAAACAAAAATGAAGATAATTAGTATGAATTATTACCGGTATAAAGGAAAGGAATCAATATTTTTTAAACAATAATTTGATAGAATAGGATGCTTTACTTGATAGACAAAGTAAAATAACGATTAACATTATATACTATGGTCTGTTTTTTAACCAGGAGGAGTAATTCAAATTTTTCGCGCCATAATGCTTGTTTGTAATTGGTCCAAGCGCAGGCAAGTTTACTCCACTAAATTATGACATATTGACACTAATGACATTTGTGAAATTTTAAAATTCTAAATTTATATTGACGATTTTTTGTATTTTCTGCGTTATTCCTTACATTCATAGATTTTTCGTTTGCATTTATATAAAGAACAGTTCTTTTCAGAACTATTTAATGTTATTAAGATAACAATATGGATTCAATGCCAAGTACTAGTGGTAATTATTCTTCTCCACCTTAAAAACGCCGAGTAGATTTGGGTCATTTATCAACAAATAATAAACAATGTATTATAAACATGTATAAAAAAATGAAAATTGATAATTCTGTATTGAAAATATACAGCCACGGTAGCAAAAGTAATACAGGCAGCAGGTTAGTTCTGCAGATTAGTTATTATTAAAATCAAGACTAACTAAAATAATTTGCTAATTTTAGGTGTTGCGAATTCAACTATTTACTGGTGATATGCGAATATTATTTAATGTGATATTTTTATAGATGATATTTATACTAAATATTGTTTAAAGTGTTTATAAATTTATAAATGTATGTTATTTATATCTAATTATCATAATAAAAACGGCAACTATCTTTTAAATTTAGTGTACACTTGTTACGAATCATTTTCATTTTGCTTTCATCACAATAAAAGAACATTAGTAAAGTAATGTTGTGTTTTAGTTTGATTGTATTGATACAGTTGGTTTTGTTCTTCCTGGTTGTAGATAATCACAAGAGAACTGCAAAATTATGCTTGAATGTAACATAATAGATTGAATTTGTTAATTTTAGTCAATTTTATTTATTGATAACAAATGTTACAAACTCAAGAATCCAGCATTAAAAAATTGCAAGTACACACTTATTTATACAAAGTATCTTTTTGCATTATAGTGCTTCAAATAGAACCTAAAGATATTGATACATAAGTTAAACAAATTTATCTAATGAGGTAACTGATTACCAAATATGACCACACCTATATTTGAACCATAATTTATTCTGTGATGGGAAACATGAAAAAGTGAATTTTAAAGCAGTGAACGGGAAGGAGTATGTAAAACAAATATTCAGGAGATTGGATTATTAAGCTTAAAAATAATGATCAGTCAAAGTTAACTCTTCTGGTAAGAAAAAAAACCTATATTCAAGAAATTAATCACATCAGAATAAAAATATGGTCTACACAGTTTAAAAGAACAGTATTTCAGAAATCTTTGAACTCTCTCTAACTTTTTGATACATGCATTTGCATAGCTTTGTTGCATACTTATTAGATCTATTTGCAAATTAGAAGACAAATTTATGTGAAAAACCAAACTTAGATGAATGTGAAAAACATCCTTTTTTATTGTAATAATTGTAATACCTATTGGAAGTGAATTGAAAAAAAATATTATTCAAACATAAATTAACAAAGTTAGGTTAGAATTGACGTGGAAGGTTGTCCTATATTGATTACTCGATTACCGCAAGGCCGAGATAATCAACAAAAAAAGAAGATGTATTTGGTGACTTTTCTAGTAACTTTCTTGGGTGGGAATCTGTCTTTTTGGTTTACTCCTCCTGGTTAAAAAACAGAGTATAGTAATACGAATATTATATAAAATAATAAACTCACTACCTTGTTAAAACATCCTATATTCAATATACTAGAGTAAATAACCGATTTGGAGTGTAATTTTCCTCGTCACGACGGATTTGCTTGAACATTTGGTTTTAATTTGCTCTTACCCTCAACGTCACTTTTGGTCTTAAGCCCAGGGTTGCTTTTACTTGGGGGTTGAAAGCCACCCCTTAGCGAGAACGTAATTATGAAGTGTGTAGACCCGGTAGAAGCAGTTGGAGTTGTAGCCCTTGTAAAGTAGGTTCTGATTTTTCAAATTTCAAATTGAATTTCAACGTGAAATAACCAAAAAACGAAAGACTTTCCGGAGAAAATTCATCAAAACTTTTTGAAAGTGTTTAAAAAAAGCTTTATTTTTGTGTTTTGTTTTAAGTTTACTAGTATCAAAACTGGCGAGTTACCCTCAAAATAAAGTTGGTCCTTTTTTGGTACAAATATCGTGAAAATTACCCCCTAATTAGCACCCCAAATAAAATTAATAGTTACCGCTTTATAGTCTACTTTATTTATGTATTGTTTATATAATCTGTAAGTCTTGCCGGTTCAAAGTGCTGATTTAAAAAAAATTGTACTATTTTCAAAATAACTTTCAAAGTAACTAGTGATGGAGCGGATGCAGACGACCGTTGCGTTCGCGGTGCGGTACCGTTGAGCGGTGTAGCAGTACACGCAGAGTAATAGGAACATTCAAGTTCTTTACAAGAGTAAAAAAATATAGGTTTTGCTTTTCTGAATTTTTTGATTTTTTGGTTTTTATATAAGACAAAAATTAGTTAAGATACTGCTGTTCAAAATTTACATAAACCCGTGATTACTGACTCGTTTAAACTCTTTCCACTATAACCCTTTTTAAAATAATATAAATTAAATAAAAAATTAAATGATCTTATTGCCCCCAAAAAACCTACAAAATGTTTTTTTTAAGTAATTCATAGCTTAAAATCTAACCGACTTACCGAGTAAAAAACAAATCAAATATTTTAGGAGATATCAGAAATTTCAATAAGCGATGCAGGGCACGTAAACAACGATAAAATTGTATTTTAATTGTTTAATATTTTCAAAATTTATCTATTCGTTCCGATAGTAACAGTAAATTATTAAGATTACTTTATTAATTTTTCTGTTTTCTCGATTATTAGTTTTTATTGCATAGTATATAAATTATTGTGATCACTGAATATATAGTTAGTAAAAAAATAATTACATTAATGGACAATTTAAACGTTTATGCAAGTAACGATTGTCCAAAAATATTCAAAAACTAAGTGAAATCACCATCTCTACTTTGCTGGAAGAATGGCTAGTCGTCGTCGGTGGTAAATAATATAGGCCCGGACTAAATTTACTATTTGGTATTGAGTGTTGTATTTTGAATAGATTTGTTAGTAATATTTTTGTCGTTTTGATGGTTAAATGAAAATTTATGAATACGCTGTTAATATTTAACTAGCAATAATTATTTGATGTGCGTTTTAAAACTACTTAATATTTATTTTTATCTATGTAAAGACTTTAAACTGTATACGTGATTACTGTTTTTAAAAACAAAAATGACTTCCACTTATTTAGCTGACGAATGAGTTGAAAATACATTGGATCCTTCTCGAAAACGAACTACAAGAAGTCCTCTTGGTGCTCCAGTGAAAGAAATAATGTTAAATTGTATTTAAATATGAAACAATAGAAAATCCCAGGTTCGTGGTTGAAGATATTGTAGAAAAAGTGGCGAATAAAGTTGAACTTTGTGATCGAAGTGTATTTATGGTCATTAAGGAATATAAAACTAATCATCAGTTCGCTGGACCAAAAGTATGTCGACTCGGAAAAGAAGTTTAGATAAAATAGATGAATTAAACAAAAATGCAATTAGAAGACAGGTTTATAATTTGTTTACGAGAAACGAGATACCCACCGTGGATGTGGTTTTAAAGGAGGTGAATAATGACCCTAATTTGCCAAATTTTACAAAACCACATTTTATAGAATATTAAAAAAGTAAAAAAAACTTAATTTCCATTAACAACGCAAGGAAAGAAACGCCCTTTTATTAGACAGAGACGGCATTATGGTATGACGACGACAATATTCTCAACAGATAAGGACTTATAGAAAAGAGAAGCCCAAAATTTATTATCTGGATGAGACATGGTTGAACGCTGGGCATACAAAATCTAAAATATGGGTAGACACTGCAGTTAAATCATTCTGCAGCTATTTTCTTGTGGCATTTTAAAGTAATTACTATTTAAATGAGAATAAGCCACAATTAAAGGTTAAAGTACGTTTATTGACGTTTCAATTTCCACTTCGGAAATCGTTCTCAAAATACAAACATTAGTCAATTAAACAAATTTTGTTTTTTGTTACTTAGTGAAAAATTCTTCTAATAATTTAATTTTATCTGACTCATCTATATTGACAACTCAGACATACATTATACATTTTAAAGTAGACGACTTTAAAATGATAATGCCAATATTCCTGAGATGACTTTACTTATAAGATAGTTCATTCGATTACATGAAATCAACTTTAACCTGAGAATATCCATCAGAAAAAAAAATCATAGCATGTAATTCGTCTTTAAAAAGACAAACACATGTCATGATGACAGTAAAATTCTCCTGTTAGTGATTCCATAGTAAATTATGAGGGAAAAACCAGGAAAAAAACCTCTTAATACTATCCCGACATGGTATGTATTTGGTCGTGCATTTAGTTTACCCTCAATGAACACCAAATTCTGATTTTATATGTTTGTTATTTAAAAAACATAAATGATGTATCCTCTATATGTTACTGACTTACTAATACTGGTAATTTCTTTTTAATAACTTCCTCTTTCAATATGGGCAACTAAATCCTACTACATTAACAGAATGTAGTAGGATAGAATTTAGTATGATTTGGTTACCCATATTGAAGGAGGAAGTTATTAAAAAGAAAATACCAGTATTAGTAAGTCACTAACATATAGAGGATACATCATTTATGTTTTTTAAATAACAAACATATAAAATCAACATTTGGTGTTTATTGAGAGTAAACTAATTGCACGACCAAATACTTACCATCTCGGGATAGTATTATGAGGATTTTT